AAGTGATTCAGGCTCTTATGGGCCTCTTGTTTATTATTGTTAAAGGTTGTTTAACATTCATGTTATGTTATTAAGCAAGTGACATAGCAACAATGAATTTTATTCATGTATTTTGCATTTATGTTTTGATCCGCTTTTGAAATTTTGGGGAATTATTAATTTTTCTGCACTATTTTTTTTTTGTTACTGGTAAAGAAATTACCTCATTTGTGGTAAATTATTTGTTATTTGTTATTTGTTATTTGTTATAATGTTATTTGTTATTAAACTGATGGATATAAAGTTATGTTTTCGTTGATTATTTAATGCTTCTTTTATTCTTATGCCCAATTAATGACTTCAGTAAAGAATGTTCAAATTCAGAATATAACTGTTACTGTTTCACAAGTAGGTAACATTTTGAGTTATAGACACAAAATAGAATACTGTAAATTCAGAAATTATTGCTAGCATTTATAATCGCGAATTTGATATATCCAACCAAAATTTGAGATTAATTTAAATTGCGATTTCAGGAAAAGCTGCATACAGATATGTATATATCAGATATCATAATGTGGGTTCTTATTATTGCAATTCTCACGCAGTCGCATTATTCACATTGATAACAACCTAGCAATAATTTCTGAATTTGCAGTATACATTACAAATGTATACCAAGTAACAACCCAACAGTGAAACCCTAACTGTTGAACAGCTATGGCATTTATTTGAACTATTAAGTATAATCAGGATTTCTTGGATAGATGCTTGCTGCTTACAGTAACCACATATGATAAATAAGGGCCCCATCAACTAGCAAAACTGCTTTATAAAAATAAGGAGATGTGGTATGATTTCCAATGAGACAACTATCCACCCAAGTTCAAATGAAGTGGATGTAAGCAATTATAAGCAATCATACAGTCTTCAACAATGAGAAAATCCATGCCATATAGTCGGCTATAAAAGGCCCTGACATAAAAAATACAAAACACAATTCAATTGAGAAAACTAACATTCTAATTTATAACCAAACAATTTACAAAAAACAAATATGACCAACATGAACCAACGACAACCACTGACCTACAGGCTCCTGACTCACACAAAAATGTGCAAGCCTGCCCCTTTTCTCGTGGTTAACCTGAATAAACCTCTTTGAAAGTTTATGGACACCATCATGACCATTCTGATTTGTTTGAATAGAAAATATGTGGCTGATATGTCTATAAGACAGCAGTTCAATAACACAGAAACCATCTACATAGTTTAGTGTAGTACCAATTTTTGTCTCACGTTGACAAAGTTGAAAAAGCGAGACATAGGCGTGCCTTTTCCAGTCTCGGTGTCAGCGTCAACAATGTATTAGTTTGTGATAAGGTCAGTTTATAGGGAACCACTAGTGGTAGGTCAGTGATATGTGGTATACAGATTTATTAGCATTATAACTCATTTCCATGGAGATTATTAGGTCCCACCCCCTCAGTCTATTGACTGAATTGGCATAGTTTAGTTTGAATGTTGAAGTTTGATATTAGATCAGCTTAAGATGAACCACTAATGTTGAGTAGATGATATTTGGTATTCAGATGTATTGGCATTTGCATGTCTCATTTCCATGGAAAAAAATGGCCCCTCCCAATCCCCCTCATCATGGTTCATTGACTTTTAAACTTTTACATAGTTTACAAGTTAAAGTTTAGGTTTAGGTTTGTTTAAAGGGAACAACTTATAATAGGTCAATGATATTTGGTATGCAGTTTTATAAGCATTGGCATTTCTGATTTCCATGGAGGTTATTTGATACTGCACCTTCAGTCATGCCATGGTTCATTGACTTTGAATGATTTACATAGTATACATGTTTAAAATTGCTATTTTAATTTCAACATTTGCATTATTCTATCAAAATTACAAAACACTGTTCCAAAATTCATTGCTACTTGATTGTTGGAAATTCAAAATTTTGTTGTTTCTAGATAATAAATTGAAAGCCCCTTTATGGAATCTATTGAAATTTTTATAAAAAGCTTAAGACCTCTTATATTATTATTGTCATTTTCATTTTTACCCTTCCAGAGTTATGGTACTTGATTGTTGGAAAAAATTCTGCAGTTTCTGTGTAATAAATGGAGAATCCCTTTATTTCCCCCTTATGAAATAAATTGAAATGTTAATGGAATGTTTTGGACAACTAAAAACAGGATAAATCCCATTTTTTGTTGTTTTCATTTGTTTCAGAGTTATGGTATTGTAAATTCAGAATTGAATGCTGTGTGTTTATAATTGTTAATCCTTGATCTGTGGCCAAAATGCAAAATTTTATGGAGGAAAATCAATATTGAAATTATGAATACAAGTTTTTATTATTGCCAACCTGATACTGACACAATTTTTGCATGGATAAAAACTTTGCAATAATTTCTGAATTTGCAGTACTTGATTGTTTGGAAAATTCAAAATTTTGAGGTTTCTGGATAACAGATTGAAAACCCAGGTTTTATGAAATTGTTTGAAATTCTAATGGAATGTTTGGATCACTAAACAAAATCAGGATCTCTCAGTTGCTGCAGGCATCTATCTGTGATCACCCAAGATCGCCTCTCTAAATTCATTTGTTTTTTTGTATTTTTCATGTCAGGTACCAAATTGATGAGTCCAGCCCTTTCCAGCTTTAAGGCAAGCCTGAGACTTCTGTTGCATAAAGCTCGACATAGGGATAGTGATCCTGTGGCGACGGCAACGGCAGCGTTAACTAACTACTTAAAAGCTTTATATTTTAGAAGGTGGAAGACCTGGTTGCTTCATACTTTGTATATGGATGCCTTATCTTATGAAGTTTCCGTCTGTCATATGTCCATTGTTCTTGACCTCATTTTCATAGTTCAATGACTACTTTTAAAAAAGTTTAAAAATTTTGTAATGTTAATTTCTCTCTTATTATGAGTAAAAGAATAACTATATTTAGTATGTGCATACCTTGCAAGGTCCTCATGCCTGTCAGACAGTTTTCATCTGACCTCTACCTCATTTCATGGATCAGTGAACAAGGTTAAGTTTTCGTGGTCAAGTCCATATATCAGATACTATAAGGAATAGGTCTGCTATATTTAGTGTATGGAATGATTGTAAGATGTACATGTCCAACTGGAAGGTCTCTTCTGACCTGACCTCATTTTCATGGTTAGTGGTTAAAGTTAACTTTTTGTGTTTCAGTCTTTTTTTCTAATACTGTATACAATAGGTCAACTATATTTGGTGTATGGAATGATTGTAAGCTGTCAACAAATTTCTCAGATGGAATCAGATGAAGGTCAATATTAACAGACCATATAACAATTTAAATTATAAATTAAAAATTCATGAATGCCAATTTTCACAGGTTGTAGAATAACCATCATGTTGGTGACCTTCTTACTACCCCATTTATCTCCCATTTTCATAAAGATACGCTGTATATGTCTGTCTGGCAGGTATCATCTGACCTTGACCTCATTTTCATGATTCATTGATCAATGTTAAGTTTTCCTGGTTAAGTTTGTATCTTAGATGTGCAATAGGTTAACTATTTTTAGATCATATTTGGTGTATGGAATGATTGTAAGGTGTACATGTATTTCCAGTTTGGTTTCTCTGACCTTGACCTCATTTTCTTGGATCCTGTTAAGTTTATGTGATAGTTGTAGTAAAGCTTTATATTTAGGACTATCAACATAAAATCAATGGTTAGTAAAGAAGGTGAGACATTTCAGTGTGTGCACTCTTGTTTTCTGTTTATTGTTACAACTTACACCTCTGTCGCAGATATGAAGAAAGGTTGAGCAATCACAAACATTTTAAGACCATCCACAATCCTCATGCATAGTCTATGAATAGTTTTCTCATTGACAATCATACCACATCTTATTTTTATACCCAGTTCCCTTATGAAATCATAGTGAAGATGCTTTATCTAATGTTCATGATCTTTTGTACATTGTAAGATTCTAACATAAACATGAGCATAGGGCTTTCAGCAAACTATGTCTTTTGACCATCAGCTGGAACTTTTTGCACTGTTAAACAACTGGTTCTTCATTTATACTTCATTAGATGTACTTGAAACTCAAGAAATCTGAATTTAAAAGGCAAACTGGTGTGATGAATCTTTGCACACAATTTTTTTTATACTACATGTATTAGAATATAAATCTATCATTATTGTAAAACTATAATAAAAGAGATATTTGGCATCAAATCTGGATATAAGTGATCTACTCTGCAGAAGTTATGAAATCTTTATAATTGAATATAAAAAAAAACTGATAAAAATATGTAGTATTTCAAGTTCTAGAGACACAATCTTTAAATTTGTGAAACAGATAAAAAGTTGTATAGAAGGTATATTAAAAGTGGCTAAGATCAGTTGTTTCATTCTTTGAAAGAATGTCCTTACCATTTCTGTTTCAAAATGATATGTTATTGTTATGAACATTTTAATAGAAATAACTTACTTCACAATGGGAATTTCACAAAGAGTGTTTATAAAAATAAGAAGATGTGGTATGATTGCCAATGAGACAACACTCCACAAGATATCAAAAGACACAGAAATCAGCAACTATAAGTCATCGTACAGGATTCAACAATGAGTAAAACCCATACCACATATAAGGTATATTGCGAAAATATCATCTAGTGTGAATTTGTTCTTTAAACTTGTTGAAGATGACAAGAAAAACACAAACAACTAAGACTTTCAAACAGATTTTACACTTGGAATTACAAAACATTAGCATACTGGAAATATTCCACTTTTCAGTAAGTCTTGGTAGAGTGAACAAAAGTCAAGAGACATAACTGCAATATGAATGGCCACATCATGCTGCAAAATTGTAGATTTCATGTTTTCTATACATCACTCGGTCTTTGATGAATATATTAGCCACAAAAAATCTGGTGACCCTTTAATATTTTCTTAAATGTTTCTGTTCCCCCTATTATTAATTTTGTTCAATATCTTTACTTGGAAATTGTAGGTATACAAATTTATTTCCAGTACTAAGAAATGCAGTCGCAGAGAACTTTGAGCACCTTTCCCATAGCACCTGTACACAAGACTAAGTTGTGTGCTGCAGGATTTTTAACAGTAGAAGATCTTAAAGACATCAAGCCATCTGGTCTGTTTAAAGGTAATGTAGTGATAGCAGTGCTCAAATCTAGGGGTACATTAATAATCATCAAACAAGAAACAAAGTCTTATGACCCTTTGACATACACTGTATTTAAGCTTTCCTAGAAGGTTTATGACATTTTGGTATATTCCAGGAGTAAGATTTTTACTTTTGGAAAAAATTTTATCTGTTGTTAAAAATAAAACTCAATCATAGATATCAGGCTTATAATCTTGTATGACTGATGCGAGTTTCATTTTTAATTTTAGTTCATTTATATGTTTTGGAGTTTAGTGTAATGTCCATTTTCACTGAACTAGTACACATTTTGTTTAGGGGCCATCTGAAGCCCGCCTGCCTGGTGCGGGATTTTCTTGCTGTGTTGAAGTCTCATTGGTGGCCTTCGGCTGTTTCTGCCTTTTGGTTGGGTTGCTTTCTTTTTTTTTGACACATTCCCCATTTCCATTCTCAATTTTATTCATTTATAAAACTCATCAGTGGCATTAAGTTTAAAAGTCAATTACTGTAGTAATTAATATTTTAATTTGTGAATATTTAAACCTCTAACTTTAAAAAATTAAGTACAATTAAATTTACATTACAATTGGTCTTCTTAAAATAAATGTGATTTCAAAAGAAGGGAACAATTTTACAGTTGACATCAAGATTAGTCTTTAAGATCTAAATGTTTAACTTTACCTAAAATTACTTTTTCCTTTGTAGAAACAGGCATAGGCTTGGAGGAATGTCTGGAAATTATAAAACTTGTTAACGATGACACTACAAAGAAGTCTACAGTAAAATCAGCATTTGATATCTTACAACAGGAGCAGACACTGCCACCTATCATCACATTCTCAGAGCAGATTGATGCTATGTTAGGTGGTGGAGTACCACTGTGTAAGATTACAGAGTTCTGTGGTGCTCCTGGGATAGGAAAGACACAAATGTGGTAAATATTTTTCAGATCAAAATGGGTCTATTTCATGCTGTATATTACTGTGGGCTTAGTTGTATTCTTGTGCTTTCTTAACCTAGACCCTAAGTAATAATAGAAAGATTGAATAACTAGATAACCAAATGTATAATGTGTTTTTATCAAGGTAGCAGAATGACTCAGACTGTATATTAGTATCAGTAGAGTGGAGGGTAACAAAGAAATTCAGGGGGCATGCATTTCTATAAAAAATTGAATCTAGTTCAACGTTATTTATACTGAATAGAATAAAGCACTATATATAATTATTAACATAACACTTCACTTATCGTAAAGTTATAGTCTTTTATCCGTTTTTTTATTGATTTGGGGTTGTAAGGCAGGTGGGTGGACAGTCTGCTGTAGGTCCTTTTGTTTCCGTTTAATAACTTATATTCTGTTCAACCAATGTTTTCATATCTTAATATGTTGTTACTTATGACAAAATGGAGGTAAATTTTTATATGTACAATATCACAATTGCAGTTCAGGAGTTATGCTCCTTGATTGGTTTGAAAATTTATGGGTTTTTTTTTTGCGCAATATAAAGTTGTGAACCATTCAACAATGCTTTTCAAATTGTAATATGTTGTTTCTGATGACAAAATTGAGATCAAGTTTGATTTATATATATATATTGAAGATTTAAACTTTTGATATTCAAAAGTTATGGCCCTTCATTGCTTATACAATGACACAAATAAATATAATAAAAACCGGGTTTGCTATCATTTTGACAGCCTCTTGTTATGTCATAATTTAACTTCTGTAGTTTTTGTATGTCATTCAAGCATGCAGCTAGCAGTAGATGTACAGATACCAGAATGTTTTGGAGGTTTGGATGGTGAAGTGGTGTACATTGATACAGAGGGGAGTTTTATTGTGGAGAGATTAGTAGATATCACCAAGGCAACCATACAACATTGTCAACAAATTTCTCAGATGGAATCAGATGAAGGTCAGTTTCTACAGACTACTGTAAATACAGAAATTACTGTGTTCATTTATTAGAGCAAATTTTGAAGAATGGACAAAAAATACAAGATTTTATATTGCATCTTCAGGGAAATACACAAAAAAGAGCAATATTTTGATAGCCTTAGTACTTTACTCTTTTAATAAGTAAACAAACAAATTTTTTTCATAGTTATTAAAAATATAGTTAAAAAAAAATTTAAACTTTTATTTTGCAGAAACTAAATCCAGTATGTCAGAGTTTACAACCGAGAAAGTATTGTCCATGATCCACTACTATAGATGTCATGACTATGTAGAGTTGTTAGCTACAGTTCATCTACTGCCTGATTTTATCAAGGATCATCCTAAGGTTTGTTTTATCAAGGATCATCCTAAGGTTTGTTTTATCAAGGATTATAGTTAGTATTAATGAAAACAAATTGGGTAATATAAATGAAACAGTAACCCAACAACCCAATACAACCTAAGACCTTTCTAAGATGGCATAGGAAAAGGTTGGCAAAATATATACAAACGGATGTACTTATATAAAGTGGACACAACATAAACAAAAAAAAGACTTTTTGAAGTCAACGATCTTCAACAATAGTCAGGTGTCACTTCCAAATCATCTCATGTCTAAAAAAATGTAAATATATTTATAGAAACTATCAAAGGTCTACCCTCAAAACCAAAAAAGCAAAACATTAAGATATGAAGGTTGCAATATTAAGAGAAAATAAAATGTAACATAATAATGAAAATATTAGCTTATTATAAACACAATGATTATAGTTGTTTGACAAAGTGTTATTTTGATGATTATCTTTCCATTATATACAGGTTAAGCTGGTTGTAGTAGACAGTATAGCATTCCACTTCAGACATGACTTCGATGATTTTTCATTGAGGACGAGACTATTAACATCAATGGCGCAGAGCTTTATTAAACTGGCAACAGAATATAAAATAGCTGTAAGTTTTTGACTACTGTAGTGTATTTGGTTCACTGAAATAAGATATGTCTTTGTACTTTCTTATAAGCATGCAAACCTCTAGTGTGGGAGGTTATGAAATTGAGCCCCCTCGTAGTCAATCCAAAAACCAAAATTGCTCTTTTCCGCTTTACTGCATAGCAGACAGCCTTTCCAAGTAACACCATACTGTTGGTATTTGCCAGGATGTTGGTAGTGACAAAATATGCAATTGAAAATAGAAAATGATCTAAGGTCAGATCACAACAATGTAACCTTACCTTAATCTTTGCTTAAGAAATTTGAAATTTCTTCGATTTGAAATTAATTTGTTTCCAAAGGTCTCTTTACAATGTCATTAAAACAAAAAACCTACTAGGAGACATTTTGACTTAGATCAAGCATCTTACATTTACAGTTAAATTATCAATGTTTAAATAATTTTTGAAGTATGCATTGAAACGAAACAAATAATAAATGAAGGAGTTAGCTAAAAAAAAAATTTTAAACTTGATAAATACAAAATATTAATTATCTTCTGAGTATCCAGTATAGATTCATTTTGTCAATAACTATTTTCCAAATTTTAAAATGAAAAAAAGAGATACATTTGTTATCACATAAAATTGCATAAAAATTAACATTTAAAGATTTATTACCCATGAACTGAGTTAAATATTCCCTAATGAGGTGGATTTTCAGAGGGAGATACCAGATATTTAAAACGAAAATAATGGGAGGCTCCAATTGATATCTATAACATCAACACCTATATGACTACAACAGGACAACTTTGGAACAGGGGAGATAATTCATCATTATTATTACTGTAGGTTGTACTGACTAATCAAATGACTACACCAAGACACATTTATATAGACAGGGGAGATAACTCATCATTGTTATTATTGTAGGTTGTACTGACTATTCAAATGACTACACAGGGGAGATAATCCATCATTTTTATTACTGTAGGTTGTACGGACTAACCAAATGACTACACAGGGGAGATAATCCATCATTTTTATTACTGTAGGTTGTACTGACTAACCAAATGACTACACAGGGGAGATAATCCATCATTGTTATTACTGTAGGTTGTACTGGCCTCAGACCACAATTATTCTTCCCATTGGTTACAATGCATTTTTTGGTAAAAGTTAAATTGAATTAAAAAATTTGCACCGCATCAAACTTGAAATAAATTTAACTGCTTATAGACCATTATTATTTGAATGAAATATGCTTGTCCCAGGACAATCCATCAGTGCTTTTTCTTTTGAGAGCCCTATAAACATGCCAACGGTAGGACTTGAATCTTGAATAAATGACGAAGACTAATTTCTACCCTACTTTCATTTTGGCCAAATCACTACTTTCACTTTCAACAATATTTTTTTTCCACATGTTTTACTTATTTCAATATATATGCAACTGATAGGACCACTTAAATAGTAAACATTTCAAAGAAAACAGTAGTCTGAATACTTAGGAAGAAATACCCCATATAATAATTGGGAACTATATTCCTAGACAACAAACAAAGGGAATTAATTGTGGTCTGAAGCCTACTGACTAACCAAATGACTACACAGGGGAGATAATCCATCATTTTTATTACTGTAGGTTGTACTGACTAATCAAATGACTACCAAAGTAAAACATGGAGAGAGTTCACAGTTAGTACCTGCGTTAGGAGAAAGTTGGGGTCATGCCAGTACAGTCAGAGTCATTTTATACTGGGAAGGTCAACAAAGATATGCTTGGTTGTATAAATCTCCATCCAAAAAAGAGTCTACAGTCCCATACCAAGTCACAGTAAGTCTGAAAGGAGGTTATCTTTCAGTTATAAATAAATGCATCAAACTACATATTTTTAAATAAGAAACATAAATTTATGTGAATTTTAAAGATGAAAAATACAATCATTGTATATTTGTGCTGGTTGATATTTCAGGAGTGGCTTCATGATATACAATCATTGTATATTTGTGATGGTTGATATTTCAGGAGTGGCTTCATGATATACAATCATTGTATATTTGTGCTGGTTGATATTTCAGGTGTGGCTTCATGATTTTGGATATTAATTTTCCCCGGTTCCAAAGGAGGTCTAATTGTTTATGTGTGTTCGTGTTTCTGTCCATCTGTCTGAAAAAATAAAATTTTTGTTGCACTCTTCTCATGAACAGCAAATCAAGGGTTTCTGAAATCTGGTATCCAGCTTCATGTCTGCATGGTATACTGTATGATGTGTTTTTACATCCATCACTCATCAACATCCTGTTTACTGATTACTTAAAGCAGGGATATCATAAGTGAATTTTAGCTCTCAGTTCAACTTGATTTCATTGATTTAGGGATTATGGGTATCTTATGAAATTCTAAAATTGAATTTTATTTGCAAGGAAAATCTAAATCTCACAAATAAAAAATGTTATTTTGGCATAATGATATTTTTTCTTGTTACAGATGGGTGGAATTCGAGATATTGTAGAAAGTCATGATTGTGATAAGAGTGAAGGCAATATCCAACTGCCAGCTAAACGACAGAGGGTCACGTGATAGAAAGTGGAGTTAAGAGGATTCAATTTAAATGGGAAAGCCTTCCTACTTTAGAACAAAGTTGCATGCATCTTCACTGGGCCAAAGGAATTAGATTTTTACAATTATGAACCTAAAATTTACTATCGCAGTGTAAATACTGTTTATTTTATGGTGAAAGTTCAGTAATGAAATATATACTGTACTTATGACTAATCCCAATGTCAGATTTTACTATTGAGATAACAATACTACATATACATTTTGTTGATTATTAAATCTGTTGAACAATTTTTATTCTTGTTTTAAACTTCATAATAATCCATTAAAGTTTAAGTTTTAAAAAGAGATTAAAGGTACAGTGTACATGTGTGTTGTTGGATAACCTCCCTTTGTCTAGAAAATCTAACTTATAGAAAGGTCAATCTTCATTAAGGAGAGGAATAATCCTTTAGATTATTGCCTGAAGTCAATAAACAAGGTCAAGATGTCAGTTTCATCAATTTTCATCTAAAATGTTACTGTGGATTCATTTATTTTCGTTGGTACCAATTTTCATGGATTTAGGAAAACTTGCATTTTGGTAGATATTTGATTTCATGGTTTTCCAAAAGTCTGCATATAATCATACAGCAAATTTGTAATTCGTTGAACATTTAAATTCATGGTTTCTCTGCCCCCACGAAATCCACGAAAATTGGTATCCAACGAATAATAATGAATCCAAAGTATATGAAATCATAAGCAGACTAAAAAAGATCTGTTTGTATGTTTTTTGTGGTGCTTTGTTTTTTTTCAGTCCTAAATAACCACTATAAGTGATTCGAGTTATCAACTTATTGTAAAGAACCAGGGACATTTATCATATTGTCCAGATTTTTTAATTGCAAGACCTTGGACATGGTTAATATCTTGTACACCCGACCTTGGACTTTATTCTAATATATGTCCAATAAAAAGAAGCCTCACTTCAATAATATATCACCTGCCACATGCGGGATTCGAACTCACAACCTCAGTGTTGACTGGCTAGTGATACAGTAGTTCGACTACTTAGACCACTCAGCCACTGAGGTCCCCACATGGTTTTGAGGATAGAAAAATAATTCTTATCAACACCTTACTTTGTATAACAATAAAAATATACTTAAAATAATTTTATTTCATTATATGGACACATAAAAATACAAAATTTAACAAATATAAATATGTCAATGATAGTCGGTTATTTCTTTTTCCCCTTTGGTGAACCTCTGCCACCTTTTCCAGATTTAGTCCCTTCAGTCACCTCTAGTTTTTTATTGAGACTATCTTCTGTGCTTTTGATTTGTTCTTCAACAGATGTTTTCATTTTCTTGATTTCGTCAGATAGGTATGTCTGTATCATTGTTCGTAATTCTTTCCTCGATTGTGATTCTTCTGTAATGGAAATATTTTTGTGTTGACAATTCATTTTGAAGTATTTTCGTACGACATTTAAAAAAGTGTGATGTATTTTCATAGCAATATTATTACAATGTATTAAATAAAGCGTTTACAGCTTTGCAATTTAAAAATACATAAAATTGTAACACTGAAGTACTGCATGTATATAAAGTGGTCAAAATTAATATATAATACCAAGTCAGTTTTCTGCTAAATTATTGGCATTATGCATGCAAATTTCATATACAATTTAGCAATAACAAAATTTAAGTGGTTGTCATGTGAAAACTCTGTATCTTTCTGTGATTACAAAATTTTGCTGTTTTAAAATTACAAATAATTCATGGCAGTAAAAATGAGAAAAAAAGTGATATGTACAGTACACATCAATGAGATAGTAACCAACAGTATCCCCCAAGAAAGATATCTTGCGGTCTTTAAGGTGGATCATCGGTATATATTTCCTAAGATAGAATTTTCTTATACTTTGCCGAAATAAAGATTTTACCATGCTTTTTTCAAAAATATAATATGAAGTATGGGTCACCGTGCTATTTTTCAAGCTACAAGTCGTGCAAAATTACCCAAAATTAGCATAGATTGTTCATGAAAAAACACATTTTTGTGAATAAAAAGAAATCTATGAGATAGAATTTTGAAATAAAATATGAATAGATAGGTTTTATAATATGCTTTAAGAAAATAAAAAGAAAAAAGGGTGTCTTGTTTTCTTGCTACAAGTAAAATATGAAAATTTCACTATCATTCCAGCATACAAATTTTACTATAAGAGTTATCTCCCCTTAAATGGCTAAGTTGAAAAATTGATTCTAAAACACAAATATTTGTTATTTGTTTAAACATTTTGGATTATGCAATAACTCACTTATTTTTCTTTATACAAATAAACATTCTTACACATAAATTGCAAATCTGTCTCAAAATTTGCAAATTTAGGCAAAGAACTAGACCGATTGTGTACGGCTATTGTACAATCCAAGATGGCGGTATACAGTGAATCTACCTTAAAAGTAGATTGTTGACTCAAGTTCTAAATCAAAAAGAAGGATTTTGGTTTTTACCTAAAATCCCAATCAAAACTTATTTGTTTTAATAAAAAACTTCTTTTGGTTCAAATACATATGATATACCTAAGATAGACAGATGAGGTTTTTCAAGACATTAAATGCCAAATAGCAAAGGCTACTGGCCAAAGTTAGCTACACATGTATATAAGCACTGATCAAAATAAGACTACCTTTTGTCCTATTTATGAAAAATTGACCAATCAACCACAATGTTAAGATATTTGTATACCTGGTTCAGGAGTTTTTTGTTGTTCCGTTATTGTCTCCCCTTCTGTTGGTTCAGTGGTCTGTTCAGGGGGAACTTCATTTTCCTGTGGACTAGTTTCATCAGCTGTAAATATGTATATTAATAACATTATCTTTAAATATGAATAAAAAAAATTGAAATGCAAAACTTGAATTTATGTGATATGTAATGACAAAAAAATGAATGGTATAAATGAAATGAATCTCAAATTGTCTTAAATGTGCATAAATTAATTTGCAATTGACATTATGCAAATAGCAGTGAATGTATCAAAGAGAAGTCTTAAGTCAGATCAATTATTTTGTTCTTTTTTAAGTTTTGAAGTAACCTTAGTTTCTGGAATTGAAATAAAATTGTTCTAATACAGCACAATGCTAGGTTCTTTAATCGAAGAAAAAAATAAATGAAAAATTAAATTAATAAATGCCAGGGTTGTGGAAATACCATGCCCTACATGTTGGGCTTGTAGAAAATCTACTGGACAAGTAAATATGTCCCAACTTCTTGTCCAAGACAAGTAAAAAAAAAAATCCCAGGCAAGTATAGTTTTGTATAGACTTGTCCTTGCAAAAATTTGGTTATTTCCACAGCCCTGAATTCTGAAAAAGAATTGCCAATTTCATATTTGCCAGTCTGTTAAAGTGAAAGCTGTGGGCTTGAGTACATATTTGTGAATATGTGCAGTTTCCTAAGTACTGTCATTATTAGAATTCCATTTAGGGATTACTGCATACTAAGGGAAAAAAATAATAAATTCAAATATAAAGATAAGAATGGAAATTTATTGAATGTGTCACACAACATTTGTTTTGGACTTGAATACATATTTATGAATTTACCATTTCCTGATGGTAGGTTTAAATAAACAATAACAAATATACACACAAAAGTAAACTTGTAAGTTTATTGGTTGTTAAACTTGTCATTTGGTCAGCCATACCTGGTATTACAGGAAATAATTGTGGTGTATAAAGTTGGAGTTCTCGAAAAGTGGTGGTCTGAAGATTTTGACCACCAAACTTTTGCAATTTAGGATGGACACAATTATTATATTTTGCAATAGAAGTAATAGTGAGGATTAGCAGATTTTCTTTAACCACCAGGGGGAAAAAAGATTTTGATAAATATATAAGGAAGAGAAGGCGCTTTTTCTTTACATCTGTAATTTAAGTGGTGGAGCAAGGGATATTAAGGAAGAGAAGATGTTTTTTTCTTTAAATAAAAATGTCAGAGAATATTTTGTTGTCAAGCAACTTCTGATTTAATATTTTTCTTTTAAATTATAATAATCCAAACTGACAAGACAATAATTTATGAATTTATTTTTAAAAGGTGTTTTAAACCAAATATGATATGAAATAGTTTTTTTCAAAAGATTTTAATTTTTCAATTAAAAATTTACATTTTCATTCAGCAATAGGACAGAGCAGCATGCTATCCATTTTAACATTTTCAAACTTAAATTTACGGACCTGAATTTAGGTAAATTTTTATTTGATACAAGAAAATAATTTTTTGCCCATAACTTATTAGTCCCCTACCGACGAAGTCGAAGGGGACTTTAGGTTTGCACTCCGTCCTTCTGTCTGTCTGTCTGTCCGTCTGTCAGTTCGGCAAATCAGTTTTCCACACTTTTTTTCTTCATGCTTGAAGATATTGATTGATACTTGGTATATTGTTTTATCATAACAAGTTACAGATCAAGTTCGAATTTTGTTCTGGTCTGATAATTTTGTGCAGAGTTATAGTCCTTGGACTTGAAAAAATCCCTCAAATATTCAGTTTTCCGCACTTTTTTTCATTATTCTTGAAGATATTGATTTAATAATTGGTACATTGTTTTATCATGACAAGTTACAGACCAAGTTTGAATTTCGTTTCTGTTTGATGATTTTTGCAGAGTTATGGTCCTTGGACTTCAAAAATTCACTTAAACTATCAGTTTTTCACACTTTTTTTCGTCATGCTTGAAGATATTGACTTGATATTTGTTGTATAGTTTACACCATGACCAGTTATAGATCAAGTTAGCATTTTGTTCCAGTACAATTAATTTTTAACCGGTAGGGGACTATGTATTGCCATGCAATACTCTCAGAATGCTTGTTTAATCTGAAATTCGTAGGAATAATTTGTATACAGGTCAGAATGTATTTCAATTAAGAAGTAGTATTTACTGAAGACGAGGCAGACGGAGCATTACAAAAGGTAAACGGAAAAATCAATTCAAATTTTATGAATAGTGGAATAAAATAAAGAGTGCCCTCTGATCCCATTCTTTTCTTTCTGGAGGAGCACCTTTGTATACTCCAAATAACAAAAAGTCAAATTGTTGTGTTCAGTGTTAACTTTTGGTTTGACTATATATATAAACAATTAAACCCACTTTGTACTGCATACATGATCAGTGTGAAAGTTATATAATTTCTGCTGAAACACTGGCTTCATGTAAGCAAACAATTAAGACTCTCCTAGAAACTTTTTTTTAAACTATCTACTTCAAAATAATATCTAGCAAAACTCTTATATTTCCTAGAAGCTATTTCATTCTATACCTGAACCATTTGCAGTATACAAAATAATATCCTCATCACCATCGTCATCAACTAAAATGTTTACAACATTGGTCAAACCAAAGGTCAAACTATCACTATTATCTTAAGAAGCTTCTCATTCCAAGATATTTTTTTTATATAGACTATTTTCATATTACTGACTTTTTATTTCTTAAGATATAATTTTTATAGGTTACCTACTGTGTCGTAGGACATTCTGGTACTCGGTCAAGTTAGAGCAACTAAAAGAAGTAAAATCAAACTTACAACCATGCAGTGCAATTTAGGGGGAAAATTAACTGTTTACAGTGCAATTTAGGGGGAAAATTAACTGTTTACAGTGCAATTTGGGGAATAAAATAAAATTAATTGTTAAACTAGTTTTTTCCCCAAATTGCACTGCATGATTGAAAGCTTGATTTTATTTCTTTTAGTTGCTCTTACCTGATCGAATGTCCTACCACAGAGATTGTAACGTTGAAAAATTACACATGGTTAAACTGGTTGACTTATCCACACTTTACCAAAGAGGGCTGAAACTTTAAAATTCTTGTTTTGGTGCCTGATTTGACAATTGAAATTGAAAATTGAAAATGGTGCGTTTTTGACCACCAGCTGTGGTGAAAATCAAGGCTTTATAAAGCCAGTTAATGTTTTTAACAAATGTCTATACAAATACTATAAATTGACTGCACAATAAGCACATCTGCAGTATTAGGATGTTCAAATGAAATAGTTATCAAGGAAAGTAACTCTTTATATATAAATAAAATACAAAACCTTACCTTCAGATGGTGGGGGTGTGACAGGTAATCCAACATAAGATAATGACAGGTCTAATCTTACCTGTAAAAAAGTAACATACATACATATATTATATTACAATTAACATAATGTTTTAGACATAAATGTTTTGCTTTACATGCTAAACTTTTGGAATTGTCCTATGGCTGCTTAAGAGAAAATTCTGACAGGGTTCTTTATGGGTATTTTCTAATGACCCCTAACCACCAATAAATTTGTTTACAGTCTTTTCCATATTAAAATGTTGTGAATTGTTCTACTGCTAATACGCCAGTTCCAGGATACTGTAGTTAGTTGAATCTGTCATGTGACTTCCATCACCACGTGACCAAAATGTAGGCATCATCACTTCCAACACATGTTGAGCAAACGGCTGAAAAAGTTTGATCTTATACTGTAGAATATTTTGGAAATTAAAATCTAATAAGTTGGTCATCCTCCCTTCAGTTGTATGGGAATTAAGATTATGTACTTACGGAATATAAATTATTTCTAGACTACCCTGCAGAATGACGATTCTGAAAGTGCTTTCAACTTTAATAGAGCAGGGATACAGGCACGCCTTCTATCTGGTAAATGACGTCATAAAGGCCTGCAAAATTGACCATCTTTTCCAGTGAAAGACATGATTGGAGAAATCGCCTATAGATTTCAAATACCCGTAATATTGCTTTCAAAGACCTAAAAAAAGCTTTTTTTGTTACATTATTCTTTCTAATAAATTCAAGTAGCCATTGTCAAAGCTGTTGCTTTCTCTTTATTAATACATACTGTAAGTATATACAATTTAAAACCCATACTTACCAGTGGTGTGAAGGCATATTTGTACATTTTGAAATGTCTGAAGTATGTATTGACTGTGTATTCTGTTATTTTTCTGACTTCATCTGCATTAAATAACTCAATACTATGTGGTGGTCTCTGTAAAAACATGAAATTATGTTGTAAGTATAAACGTTAGGACACATACAAATGTGTATTATCTGTGTGTTATAAGATTTTTCGGACTTCATCTGCTATAAATAACTCAATACTGTGTGGTGATCTCTATAAAATATGAAATGGTTTTGTGGGTATAAAATGTGAAAACATAGAAATGTCTGAAGTAAATATTTGAATTAACTATCTTTTCTCATTTTTCTGACCATCCAATATTAAGTGGTTGTCTCTGTAACAATATAAAAAATTTTGTTGGGAGCACAACAACCGTGGACACACAGAAAGGATTAAAGTATGTTATATTTACTATGTATTCTGTCATTTTCGTACTTAATCCACTTCATATAACTCAAAACTAACTGTGCTGTCCCTGTAAAGTTACATTAGCCTAAAAGACCATTTTAAAAACTTTTGCCTATTATCTCGAAAATTATAATAGATAAAGACAATCTTTAAAAGCAAAAATGATCAGCAAGATAAGATCTACAAATAAGTCAAACATAACCAAAAACGTAAGACGACTCTTTATTGAAGTTATTGACCTTTAATTATGATTTTCCCCATTTTTTCCCTATTATCTTGAAAACTGTAATAGATAGATAGAAACTTTTAATAGCACAAATGATCAGCAAGACAAGATCTACAAATGTTCCATAATGGTGAAATTTTCAGTCGACTTGTTTTTTGAAATATTTCCCTTGAATGATAATTTTTAACATTTTTATGCATTTTTTGTCTATTATCTTGAAAACTACAATAGATAAAGAGAAAGGAAAAATTATCAGCAGGATAAGATCTACAAACATGTCAACATGACTGAAATTGTCAATTAACACTTACTAGATTAATTCCCCTTTTATGAAGATTTTTACTAAAAAGTGGCTCTTGTTGAATAAGCAGGTGAGCGACACAGGCTCTTTAGAACCTCTAGTTTTATCTAAAGATAAAACTTACATTGACAGCATGACACAGAACCAATTCTTTAAAATAATTAAACGTCTGGTCTACATTTCCAAATGGAGTCTCTGAAAAATTATAACTTGAAAATATCATTACCTTCAACATGTATGTCAAATACAACAATTTCTCTATAGCTGAAAACGTTTCCAAATACTGCACTTTTCATGCAACTGATAAAAAAAACAGCTTTTTTTTTCGTCAAGGAAGGGGGCACATCATAATCTGCCATTGTATGAAATTTTACATCTATTTTTGACATGGGAAGTTTTTACTAAAATCTAGGGATTAATAGAAAGGCTGTTTTTTATTAAATAAATCAAGAAGACTAATATTTAGAAACTGGACTTATAATACCGGTATATAATTTATTACTACATACAAAAAGTCCTGTTCTATTTTTAGGAAACAGAATAATGAAAATTGAGCAGGGAGGGGAGATAATCTGGTAACTCCTCTAACATATTTAAATTATATTTTACATGTTGATTTTGAATGTCATCAATTCCATATAAGTAAAAAACATAACATACCAATACAAACTTCATGTGTCTTCTTGACGATAGAGAACACGGCAGACATTTTCTCTCTGTTGAAGTTATTTTCTCTGGCAAACATGATTGTATAAAAATACAGATCCATAACAATCCCTGTCTTTATATTGGTCCTAAAGTCATCCAGGTGGAATATGTCAGCTAAAACTCTGGAAAGATAAGACAAAATACAGGTCTTACCCCGTGGAATATGTCAGCCAAAACTCTGGAAAAATAAGACAAAATACAGGTCTAACCCCGTGGAATATGTCAGCCAAAACTCTGGAAAGATAAGACAAAATACAGGTCTAACCCCGTGGAATATGTCAGCCAAAACTCTGGAAAGATAAGACAAAATACAGGTCTAACCCCAAGTTATAAATTGCAATCTAGGACTCAATGCACTTGAGTTCTAAAAATGGGAACCTAGTGGAAAGTGTGTTACGGAAATTCGTTTGTACTTTTTGTTTCATTATTTATCCAATTGAGTCAAAACAATTACCAGTTAATACATTTTAAATTGGGATGGAGCAAACAAATTTGAAATTAATTTCTTACTTTAGACATGTGGGATCAGAAGATTGCTGTTGTATTATGCTTATATATCAGATGACATACAGGTATTGTAAATTGTATAAAGTGTAAACGAACTTCAAAGTGTCTGTTTTATAAAGCACTTGGAATTCCCCTTTAAAAATTACAGTTGACTGTAGTTCTACCAAGAGAGGTAACTCTGCATATATGTTTACAATATTTTAGTGGTGGAAAGCTGGGCCAATACATATGCTTCAAGTCTATATTTGACAAGCTGTATTTCAATATCTTAAAGAAAGTTTTTATATTGTGTGGCCAGTTCTACATATTATATTTCCCATTATACAGGAGTAAATTGAGATAAGATCGGGAGACGGATTTATAAAAGTTTTTCCAAACTTGTTTCCTAATCCCATATCTGAATTTTATGTAAAATTGTACTACTTCATTGTTATAATTTTTCATTAATAAATACTGTTTAAGGTGGCTGGGGTGTCTTCCTCCATCTTGGATTTTAAAGTAGCAGATAACAATTGGTCTAGATCTTTAATGATATGTGCAAATTTTGAGAGTAATATGTAATTCATGTGTAAGACTTTTCATGTTAATATAGAAAATTATGTGGTTCATATTTACGGCTGTTTTTTCTCTAAAAAACACATTATTTATGTTTGATTCATTTTTATTCAACTTTGCCACATAAGGGGAGATAATTCAGATAGTAGGGGAGATAACTCTGATAAAATAATTTTTATAATAGAAAGTGTCATGAATTTACCTATTTCAATATGTAGCAAGAAAACAAGTTGATCCCATTTTTTCTTTTTCTTATCTGAAAGCATGTTATAAGAGCTATCTTCTCACATTTCAACTTAAAATTCTATGTTGTAGTTTTCTTTTTATCACACAAAATTGGATTTTCCATGCATAATCTATACAAAATCTGACAATTTTGCACAACCTGTAACGTGAAAAAAAATCCGTGACCCATACTTTTTATTATGTTTTGGAAAAAAGCATGATAAAAACTACATTTTGACAATTTATTTAAAAATTCTGTGGATTTTAATTAAGACCCCCCCCCCCCCCTCCACCTTAAACTAAATTGAGATAACACTTTCTGGATTATTAAAGCATGACTTACTGTCTAACATGGTCAGAGTTCAATGATTCACTGATGCGATCCACGTCATCAACTGTTAAATCTGCCCTGTAAAATAAGAAGTCAAAGTCATATCATGGAAAAACGACAAACTTTTTCTCCCTTGTTAGTTTTTAAATATCAGTCTAGATAATTTGGCAGCAATGCAAATTTATAATTATCTCCTCTTTGCCAAAATTCTCCAATAATGATAACTTGTATTGAAAAGGGATTTGGTAAGTTCTCTTTTGTTTCAACCAAATTTTTTTTAAGCAGATATAAATAATTTTCATATTCTGTAAAAATGAATCAATATGTTAAAATAATCAAATGCTACATCTCAAGACTTATTCATTCAATGAATTTCATTGTATATGGTTTATATATGGTTGACTTACTATGGTAAACGGGTACCATAATATGTCCTAGCAGTCTATGACGGGCTTATAAAAAGTGTACCTACCACACGCAAACTTTAGCTCTGTGGTCTCTTGGCTGAAAAAAATTATATGACAAAAGATCATACATGTTCATGTAACAACTTTGAAATTAAAGTGTCTTATTTTATCATGTCACATTATGTATATAATACTATAAGTGCAATTGTTTCATTAAATTGATTTAGCTTAGTAATTTTCTGAAGACATCGAAGTACCACAGATCTCTGAATAAGGTTGAAAGCTACATTAATAAGCTGCAAGCTTCCTGTAAGGATAATTTGCATGAAGTCGTACAAGATTCACATCTTATTGTATTTGTATTTTAAGGAGGTTGTTGTGTAAAACCTTCAAGTAGAAAACAGTAAGGCTTATTATATTTTTTCAATTCAACTTTTTTGTCATTTAAACATTTATGAAATATGATATGTAAGGTTTACAGTATTCAAAATTCAGAACATTGTTAGGGAGCAACCATTTAACTTCAAGAGGGGGCAGGGGTTTATGGTTTTTTGTCTGTGTCAGAATTTTTTTTTTCAAAATTTAACACAAGGTATGGGAAAGATCTGGATTCAGAATATTTTTTTTGTCATCTGCTTGACCACATTATTTTTTTCATCAAATTGGGGATCAGAATATTTTTTTAGGAAAAAACCATAACAACCCCCCCTCACCCTTGAAGTTAAATGGTCGTTCCCTAAGGTGATAGACAATTTCATACAATTTGGAGGTATGTGCAGTTCTAACACATATATGCCATAGATAAAGGCAACAGTAGGATACCGGTGTATACTGTCTTCCATTGCTCATTCTATTCAATATTCAATGTTTTTTATGCTGGTCTTTTTTTTAAATGCATATAATTTATGGGAGCTATATCTTAAAAAAAAGTAAATATTTTTTTTTAAATATTATGGTAATGTTCATTCAAAATTTTACAGGAAAAAATAATATTACAATTACCTACTAGTACTGGTTGATTTAAGGTAACAAGTAAAGTAAATGTGCACCATTCTAATATGAAGTTGTTCAAACACTTTGAGTACACACCGTGGTAAAATATGAATATATTGTATGTCAGCTGATCGGCAACGTCATGATTTGTTCGGGCTGTTCTGATCATACTCCCACGACATATGCTACCAGACTTTGTGTAAATGACGTTATTGAACGATGACATAATATAAGCATTTTACAGGAAAATGCACGGTTGTGAAACTGAAAGTCACCAAAACAAGGAAACATAAACAAACGATGCTAAAATTTGTTAAAAGCCAATAGAGCTCTTCACAGTTAGTTCGGCCATATTGGATAGGGGGCAGATTTTTTTGAAAGAGGTGGAAATACATGTAGTATGAAAGTATGGGAAATCCTATGCATGTTTCCAAGCAACTGCTCTGTTTTAATGTGGTTTTCCCGAATTTTTCACACCATTTTTACCTCCATTATGAAAATCTGCCCCCTATCCAATATGGCCGAACTAACCGTGAAGTGCCCTATTGTTTTACATATAAGTATGATTATCATTTAAATTCATCCAAACCTAAGTACGCTATTTTGAATAGTTTAAGCATGTCACTAGTTCACAGTTTTCTCAGTTCTTTTATGTCAATATCAATAGTGTGTTTATTTTCGGGAACGGCAAATGTTTGCCTTCACCTAGAGCGCTTTGATCCAAAAGAATTGCCTTATTTGTCCTATTAGAATAGAAATAATCTTTGGGAACTCAACAGAGTAGCACCTGCAAGTCTGGTACCATATAAACCTGTATACTGTCTTTCAATGCAAAAATTTTAAAGGCGTTCAGACTTACAATATTTCACTGTATATGAAGAACATCGGATGTAAACATGGTAAAGGACTTTTGCCAGTTTTGGTGATCCCTGGCTTAAGGACGACATAAACAGCAGAATATTTTATTCGTTTGTATTTCACCTTGAATGGTGAATGGATTGGGGAATAACATGTACCTGTATAAGTTTAGGGATTTCTTGAACCTGCATTTCTTGTGATTCAAGTAGCATTTTAATACGTTTTTCTGTTAGATGTCGGAAGTGCAGTTGCTAGGAGAATAAAAACTTCCGGTATACAGTAATATCTGATACATGTCCGGAAATCGTTAGTTCCGGAATTATAACTCAAGAAAGAATGTCCGAGACACCATAAACAACGTAACCTTGTGTCTGCTTTTGGACATTAATTTTTTTCATGATTATTGTATTTGAGAGTGTTTTCTGTCCTTATTGATTAGATATGATTCTAAATTTCTTGAAGAAAAGTAATTTGTTTAGAAGGGAATCAAGGGCATACGATACTGTACAGTACAGTACAGTTTTGATCCCACGGTGATTTTTTTTACTCAAATTTGCATACAAGCTATTTTTCACCTGGTTAATTCAAATATGTAATAAAAAATAATCCTTCATGTGCTAAATTTAGAGATAAATGGGGTCGAAATTTTAGACATTTACTTAAATTTCGGTTTCTTAGACAGTATTCTTTGGACAGACATACTTAACTTTTTTGCTTCAAAAGATATACACATGCGGATTTTGGTAAAACGGTTTGGAATATCTTCTTAACATAAGCCTCGTCTTAGTTTGTGTGACAATTCTTTGGAAATATTTTTTTTATTTATTAAATGTTAATGATTTCGGAAAAAACGGCATTTTTTGCTGTAAAGACATCGTTTTTTTTTATTCAGTTAAATATTAATGTAATATTTTTTCCTGTCTATGAAGAAATAACATCAAAAATGTGGTGCATACTGAATAACCCGCGTAGAGGTTTATTTAAAAGTGTGCACCACATTTTTTAGGTTATTTCGAATAGACAGAAAAAATATAACAGTCATTCCTTATAAAATGATTATTATAAAACATGTATTTATCTAATTTATTAAAAAATCATCGGTGATTTCTACATAAAAATAGGAATAAATAATCTTCATACAGTATAAAGTCAAATGTCATTTTAACAAGAGGCTGTCAGACAGACAGCAAACCGGATTTTCCTGCAGAGGTCGAACCCTGAACAGTTGAGCAAGTATGGACACTACATTTAAACTTAAAACAGCTCTGAATTTGGATTGTGATTGAATATTTGACACATCATAGGTTTGTGACACAAAATGAATGTAGTCAAAGAACTGATATATTTGAAATTGGACATTTAAATACCTATTATGGTCCAATATCCAAAATCTAAGTACATATTAGAATCAGCATATCAGAGAACCCCAAGAATTCAATTTTTGATGAAATCAGACAAAAGTTTAATCTAGGACCCTTTGGACCTCAATGTGGACCAATTTGATAAAGGAGCCCACAATCCAAAATCTCTCAATACATGGTTAGATTCAGCATTTCAAAGAACCCCATAAATTCAATTTTTGTTGAATCAAACAAAGTTTAATTTTGGACCCTGATTTGGACCAATTTGAAAACTGGGCCTAAAAATCTAATATTTAAATAGAGTTTAGATTCAGCATTTGAAAGAACCCTATATATATTTTATAAAGTTTAATTTATGTTGAAATGAAACACAGGTTAATTTTATCCATAATATTTTCTGTGCAAATGGAAATAACTCAAAACTGGATAAATAGTTCTCTAAGATAAGATATGATGCAATTTTTCAAATTATAATCAATAATATAATAACAACAACCAGTGATGACTAAGTTCTCTAAAATTAGATATGATTTAACACTCAAACATTGTTAGAATCAGCATAGCAAAGCACCAAAGAATTCGATTTTTGATGAAATTAAACAAAAGTTTAATTTAGGACCCTTTGGACCTCAATGTGGTATTATCTTATTAATAATGAAAAGCTCGACCGTTTACAAGTTCTTAAATAGGAGGGGGTGGGGTGACCCAAGGGGACTCGCCTTATATTTCATTTGATTTGTTTTATTGTCCCATTCAAGAATAAATATGGTTTAGGGGTGGGGATCTCGACCATTTACAAGTTATCAAAAAGAAGGGGGATGGGGGTTACCCCAATGGACTTTCTCTATATTCCATTTGATTTGTTTTGTTGTCCCATACAAGAATATATATGGATTAGGGGTGAGGATCTCGACCGTTTACAAGTTCTCAAACAGGAGTGGGTGAGGTGACCCCAGGGGACTCGCCTTTTATTTCATTTGATTTGTTTTATTGTACCATACAAGAATATATATGGTTTTGGGGTGGGGATCTCGACCGTTTACAAGTTATCAAAAAGGGGGGTGGGGGTTCCCCCCATGGACTTCTTCTATATTTCATTTGATTTGTTTTATTGTCCCCTACACGAATATATATGGTTTCGGGGTGGGGACCTTGACCATTTACAAGTTTTCAAAAAGAAGGGGGTGGGGGTGACCCCCATGGAGTTCCCCTATATTTTCATTTGATTTGTGTTATTGTCCCATATAAGAATATATATGGTTTAGGGGTGGGGATCTCGACCGTTTACAAGTTCTCAAACAGGAGGGGGTTGGGGTGACCCCAGGGGACTCGCCTTTTACTTAATTTGATTAGTTTTATTGTCCCATACAAGAATATATATGGTTCAGGGTGGGGATCTTGACCATTTACAAGTTTTCAAAAAGAAGGGGGTGGGGTTTACCCCAGGGGACTTCCCCTCAATTTCATTTGATTTGTTTTATTGTCCCGTTCAAGAATATATATGGTTTAGGGGTGGGGATCTCGACCGTTTACAAGTTTTCAAAAAGAAGGGGGTGGGGGTGACCACACATGGACTTCCCCTATATTTCATTTGATTTGTTTTATTGACCCATACAAGAATATATATGGTTTAGGGGTGGGGATCTCGACCGTTTACAAGATAAAAGCACATTCTCAAATTGAAGAGGGGTGGGGGTAAGAATATATATGGTTTAGGGAGACTTAATTATCTACAAAATGTCTAATAATGAACAGTAAATTTTAAATTTCATTTATACAGGTCTACTAGTAAATTTCTAACTTTATATATACAGTCCTACAGATCTTATCAGGAAACAGAAATTTTTCAAATAAATCTGTCACTCCAATGATTTATATCATATTCTAAGATATAACCCAGATCTTATTAATAATTAATAATTTTAATAATTTTCAAAATGTCTAATAATGTAGCTTATAATCATCACCACTTAGGAAATAGATAATTTTCAAATAAATCTGTCACTCCAATTTTTATTGTGAGATAAGACAAGTCATAAAATGATAACAAGAGTAAAATATTTAAAAATTCTGCTTTTGGATATTAAAAATGGCGATAACTCACAAAGGAGATATACTAAAATCTTGAAAATTGAACTAGACCTTCATTAAGTCCCAGGAAACAACATATTTAAATTTGAAAAAGAATTGGTAAAGCGTTTTCATGTTATTTTGCTGACACTGTTTGGCAGCCGCCCGTAGATCCGCCCAGCCGACCGCCGTACATCACCATTTTAATAACCGATATTTCCTTCGAAAATCCGGTTAAAAACGAGGGGTCCGTGTACTCGTTTTCAAGCTAATGATTAAAATCACTCGAAAAATGCATCTTTTCTAGATATGGTCGCAGTTTGAAGTCGTGAAAAATAACATTTTACGTTAGCCACGTCATTACCTCCCCTGTAACTGTATCGTATGCCCTTAAAACAAAAATTTTATTCCTTTATTTTATTGAAAAAATAGATTATGCTAATCAAAGTCGCAAACAAATTTGTTTGTCCCGAGAGAAAAAGAAACATGTCCCACCCCCAGAAAAGATGACTGAATGGTCTGTGCCTTTAATACGATATCAGATTCAGCTCCATTACGCTCAATATAACAAAAGTGAATTAGTAATTTAAGCACTTGTGAATTTAAGTATAATATTGTCTTTTTTCAAATGAAACAAATTTCATGACAATAAAAAATGTATCCCGAATTCACATCAAGAGAAGTCACGTTATTAAATTTGATACTATACTAGTAATTTCGAGTATACACTCCTCCTTAAAGAGTTCAATCTAAAACTAAAGCCAAATACATTGTTGATTAACACTTAAAGATCTCGTTTTTCTGAATTTTGATGTTTCATTTTCACAATATTTTATACTGAGACTACTATTACACAGTTATAATAGTCTCAGTTTCATACGATGATCGATTTTAGAGCTCTATATATATTATCAGAAGTCCGTGATATTATCAGTGACTGCTGCTACTAAATATATGTTATTTCTAGAATATTTATGTAAATATGTCACAGAAAAACGCAAAAATATTTAAAATTAGACGAAAACCCCCCCAAAAAAAGGATTTTGGAAAAAAAGGGGGAGGGCCAAAAATATTGCCCTGTCCCCAAGTACCCAAGCTAATACCCGCTTTAACTCATTATGTAGGTTACTCCATCGCCAGCTATGGGACATAATCGTTACACTATGGGGAGAGTAACATACAAAGGGTTTCACTATCGTATCTAAGAAACCCAAAGGGTTGACTGGGATGTAGAAATTTGGTCATCCTTTGGTCTTTTTCTGACATATAGTAAAATTCTTGCCAAAGTGGGGCGTCCGTTAATTTTGCTGTGCGGAATGTACTAGTATATATTCGCAGTCTCGTCGGGTCGGAATGGGGACGTTAAATCTGGTGCCTCGTGTAGTGACAGTGCCATGCTCTGTGCACGTTAAGAACCATTGGAGCAACTCCTTGCGGGGTGCGAATTAGGCATGTTACAAAGCTAAATTTCTGTCCCAATCCATTATACCCTCATTTTATAGTGGCATACAAAATTTCCCACCAATCATCCCGGTCGACTCCCTATTGCAGGACTTTCCTATTGTATTTTTGTTAACTTGTTCTCGTCCTGATCATGCATGAACTATTTGCCACTGGACAATAAGCCAACAACAATCAATCAATCAATAGGATGCCGGAGTGTCTCGCTCCATGCCCGTTATAGCCTTTGCAACAACGTTCCTCATTTTCCAGTGGCAGACCAAATTTCCCGCCCTTCATACCCAAGGACCTATCTTACAGAACCTACCTATTTTGTAAATTATCAATTATGTCTTTTCGTCTTGACTTTGATAATTAACAATTCTATAA